TAGCTGGTTCTTTAGTTCTTGCTATATTTCGGGAGTGCTTGACTTGTTTGTTTATGGAGTCTTATCAGCTTTTAAAATGTAAAACTTGCAAGGAACTTTGATTGTGATTTAAAAGCATCCGTGGAGTATGACCTAGTGCATCTTTTTCATCTTTTCTTGTGCTTTGCCAGATGCAGAGTGTGCATACAGTTAACACTTGGTTTAGACTTCAGAGTGATATGTTTATAATTTGATTGGAAATGTGCTAGTTTCTTTATTCGGGATGCATGCCATCAAAGGAATAATGGCCTTGTTCTCAACTGATTTTCAAGATCTGATTTTAGATTCTGATTCTAAGCAAGTTATTTTGTTGTGTTCTCAAATTCTGATTTTTTTATTTTTTTAGCCTGAAAAAGCTGAAACTCAAAAGCATCTATTTTGGTGCTTTTTTATTCTGATTTTCTAAAATCAGCTTTTACACAATCAGAAGCAGTTGAGAACAAGACCAATGTCTTTCACAAATCATAACAGTAGAGTCTTGTGATTTTTCTGTTTACCAAGAAAGGTTATTTTGCCTTTTAGTATGGTAATTCACAATGAATATGGCACAGGACTTTGGAGATTTCCAAACTGGCTATATTGGTTCAGTAACTTTTGTAATTCATGTAATTACACTCTTCATACCTTGAATTCTGAACTTTTGATGATGAAATCCAGGGGGATGTGCTTTACCTGTTTTTCGAAACAAAGAACTCAATCACCATGCAAGGAGACATCGGAGTTGCAAGAAGTGTTGATAAGGGAGCTACGTGGCAGCAGTTGGGCATCGCCTTGGATGAAGATTGGCATCTCTCTTATCCCTATGTCTTTGACTACAATGGCCATGTAAGACCTCTTTCTCTCACAGCCTTTTTTTCTGTAAACTGTGAATATGATATGTGGATCTGCAAGCATGCATCACTTTTATGAAAATTTTGACCTTAATTAGCAGATTAGAATATAGAAGAGTAGAGTTTTGAGAATAATGAACCCAAATCTGTAACTTGAACGCAATGAATAAATAGTATCGTCTTTGATTGCTGATATAGACATCATGTCTTGCCTTTTCATTGTGGTTACTGAAAGCCTCTGAAGTGGTTCAAGCTGAGGAAATTTTATCTCTTCTCTTTTGGAGCAGATATATATGATGCCTGAGGGAAGTGCAAATGGGGATCTGCGGCTTTATCGAGCTGTGAACTTTCCAGTGGAATGGACATTTGACAAGGTCATTATGAAAAAGCCTATGGTTGATTCCTTTATCATTCCTCATGGTGGAAAGTACTGGCTGTTTGGTTCAGACCACAGTGGTATTGGGACCAAGAAGAATGGACAGCTGGAGATTTGGTACAGTACTTCTCCTCTTGGTCCTTGGAGACCACACAAAAAGAACCCTATATATAACACAGACAAGAGCATGGGAGCTCGAAATGGAGGCAGGCCCTTTGTACATGATGGAAACCTTTATCGAATTGGTCAAGACTGTGGTGAAACATACGGGCGGCGAATTCGTGTCTTTAGAGTGGAAATTCTCACTACAGATGAGTTCAAAGTTGTTGAGGTCTCTTTGGGCACTGAAGAACCAACCAAGGGACGAAATGCCTGGAATGGCCTCCGCAACCATCATCTTGATGTTCAGCAGCTAAGTTCTGGGGAGTGGGTTGGGGTGCTGGATGGGGACAGAGTGCCCTCTGGAGATACAAATCGCAGGTTTGTTCTAGGCTGTGCCTCAGTCATGGCTGTTGCTGCACTTGTTATATTGGTTGGATTGCTTCTAGGGGCTGTGAAATGCCTAGTACCCCTAAGTTGGTGCCCTCACAATATGGGGAAGAGAAGCGATGCTCTCTTGTCGTGGGAGAAGCCGAATCTGTTATCCTCCAAACTGAGACTGTTTTGCAGCCGTTTAAACAGAGCGAGCTCAATTCTTCGTGCCAAAGTAAATCTGAATACTTGTACCGGGAGATTGGTTATAATATTGACAATCATGGCATCAATGGCCCTAATGTGCCTGGGGGTTGGATACATATATGGAGGCAGTGGTGCACAGGAGCCTTACCCGTTAAATGATCATTATTCTCAATTTACTTTATTAACAATGACCTATGATGCTCGCCTCTGGAATTTGAAAATGTACATAAAGCATTACTCCAGGTGTTCATCTGTGCGTGAAATTGTGGTGGTCTGGAACAAAGGCAAACGTCCAGAATTGAGTGAATTCGACTCGGCAGTACCAGTAAGGATAAGAGAGGAGGAAGAGAACTCGTTAAATAATCGATTCAAGATGGATCCAAAAATAAAAACTCGAGCTGTACTGGAACTTGACGATGACATTATGATGACTTGTGATGATATAGAACGGGGTTTCAAGGTATGGCGTGAGCATCCTGATAGGATTGTGGGGTTCTACCCCCGGCTCGTGAATGGGAGTCCCCTGAAATACAGAGCAGAGAAGCATGCTCGCAGACACAATGGCTACAATATGATTCTAACTGGGGCAGCTTTCATGGACGGCCGGATGGCCTTTGAGAGATACTGGAGCAAGGAAGCAATGGCTGGAAGACAGGTGGTTCAGAAGTATTTTAACTGTGAGGATGTGTTGCTGAATTACCTTTATGCAAATGCAAGCTCTTCCCAGACAGTCGAGTATGTAAGACCTGCATGGGCTATTGATACATCAAAATTTTCTGGTGTAGCTATTAGCCGGAATACGAATGCTCATTATCATGTTCGAAGCAATTGCCTGCGAATATTTGCAAAGATGTACGGGAGTTTGACCGACCGCAAGTCAGAATTTAGCCGGCGGAAGGATGGTTGGGATGTATAGTAGGAATGAAGTCTAACCAGAGGTGGTGAAAGTTGGTGGGTACATCTGTTGATCTTCGTTTCTCTGTGGCATAATTTTGTTCTATACCGACCCTGTAAAACTTCATTTGCCTCCCATTGTGAATCTTGCTTCGAGGGGGGATTCTGTTATTAATAGTTTTGGCAGTCAATTGTACATTAGTTGGTGGATCAATACTTGTTCATTTTTTTTTTGTTTTGTTTTCTTGGGGTGTTTTCTTTATGCAAAGCTTGGGATGTAGACAAAGAACACAGGTTTCATCCTTTACTGTAGCAAAGCCTACTATCTTTGTGGGGGTGATAAAGAGAGGAACCACAAATTTTGCAGCTTGCTTCCGTTATTGAAGGTTCTCAATTTGAAGAAAAGAAAAACAAAAAGACCTCTCTTGTTAATGAGTCGGATAGGGAATGTACACGAAGTACAAGGAAAGAATATACAGGTGCAGTGTACTTTCCAACAACATTCTTTGAGTTGGTAGTACTTCAGAACTATAACAAAAGATGGAGCAGATTATTATCTTCCCTGAATACTGTACTGCTGAGGAATGGCCGGTCCTCTAGCTACAAAGCAATAGGAGATGGGGCCTGGGAGTGGATAAGCAGAAAAAAGCAACCCCTCCCAGTCCAACAAGTCGCAAGTCGTAAAACTGGTAGCCATAATCACGATTGGTGATGGATAGTCATGGGACTGCTTGGGATGGGATATGTCGCTTCATTTCATTTTCCATGTGGATTGGAACATTCATCGCACCCAACTTCATCAAACGTTTCTGTCCCGCATGGCCCCCTCTCCTGTCCTGTCCTGCCCTTTCTCCTTGAGCTGCAATTGCAAGGCTCTTTTATTAGCTCTTATTTATATAGTTTCCTTCTCTCTTCGGTCTAATTTGACATTTTCTTTAGGGCATTTAAGGAGGGGCCAAAGCCTAATGTTGTTTGTCTCTGTCCCTCAAAATCAATTTACTAACTTAAACATGAAAGATTTCTAGTTCCTATAGAAGAAAGGAGTCTATTATATTCTTGTAAGATGTTAGTGTTTGCAGTAATTATAGAAGGGTTGTTTGCTTAAAGATAATTTCTTCAATTTTGCTCTACTAGTTGATAGTACTACTACTATTTTTCATACTTTTTTTAGACAAACTATTTGCAATTATGTAGTCTTTTTAGCATTGTTTGGTTCACAAATTTTTATTCTACCCATTTTGCTTTCCACCACGCTAGTTGAGTGAAATCATCACCTTTTTGTTTCTCTTGAAATTATCAAAGCATGCCATAATGCAAAGGAAACCCAAATTCTTAGTAGTCAAATACTTTATATGCTCCTAATGCCGAGATAATTGTCTTCGAGGATGAAAATTGGTAGTTTTCCAAGGTAATGATTTTTTCGAAAAAAAAAATGGAACTTTTCGATTTTCCACCGCAACGTAAATGGTTAAGAAGCATAATGCTCTCAAATGTTAATCAATACTAGTGAATTCATGTCATTGCATTTTTAATTTCGTACATATTTTGATATGAACAGTACCAATCACTAGAATGGAGGAATGTGAATTCAGCCTAACTTATATAGGAGATCCTACGCTCCTTTTTAGATATCATATTTTCAAGTTAAATTCACCATTACATATATAGTCAAATAAGTATTTTGAACCGTTAGATTGTATTAACTTTAACCATTTAAAATTTGAACCACTATTATCATTAAGAGCTAAAAAATTGAGAGAATCGTTCTTTAAAAATAATATTTCTTAACAAATTAGACCAAGTTAAGAACTTCTCAAACTTAAAATCATAGAATTATATTCAAGTTCAACTTAATTAACAAAGTAAAACATATATTCGCCTTGAAGTCTCTTAATCATATCACAGACCATTAATATTTTTGCTGACGCACTCAAAACTGGAAAAAATATAATAATATTTATTTATTTACATTATTAACGCATTTTAAATCATTTTTTATCTCATAAATATTATATATTTATATTTAAAATTTTCTCAAATTATCTACTATCCAAACACAGTCATCAAGGAAAAAGAAACAAAGAAAGAGAAAAAGAAAAATACAAGGGCAAAAGGGGGAAAAAGTTAAAGGTTGAAGCTAAGTTGAGCAAGCTCCAAGTTCCACACCAGCCTTAATTTGACAGTAAAATGTTCACAATGGAATGGGATGCATGGTGGCAGCATGTCAGTCTGGCCATTTTTGAAGGTCTCCTTCCCCTTTCATAGGCAGCAATAGCATCAGTCTTCTCCCCATCTCTCACCCCCTCCTTTTTAGGATCCCTCTCCATACTGCTACAACTCATGCACATAAATTGAGACAGAGATTTGGAATAATATTAGAGTAACCAAAAGAAAAAAAAGGGAAAAACCTTTTCTTTTCTCATACAAACCAGAAAAAGGGAAAAAAAAAAACAAAGAGAAATTAAAACAAACATGAATCGCTCAATCAGATGATGTCCATCATTCATTCCCATGTGCTCTTCAATCCCTATATGAATATTTCATCATCCCCCACTTCATTCTTCCTTCCATCCATTCATTCCCTCTTTACTTAGTAGCTTTCTCTGGTTTTGTAAAATCAATAAAGTTTTCACCTTTTTGCAGATTATACAGTTATAGCAATACATACATCAACATACATGTAGTAAAGTATACATGTATTTGTATTAAGGAATCATTTGCTTTTTTGGGGGTTCCTTTGACATTGGATTGGCTTTATCAGATAGCTGTCTCTCAATTTTCAAAGCCAAAGGCAGAGAGAGAGAGAGAGAGAGGGAGAGAGAGAGAGAGAGAATCTGATCTGATGTGTGATGGTTCTGCTTGATTCTTCTGCTATTCAACGGTCTTACTTCACCTTTCATTGGAGGCCGTGAAAAACCCATTTCTTATTCCAAGGTTTTTTATTTTGTTCTTGTTCGTTGGGTCAGGGAAAAAAATAAGTTTCCATTTTCCAGAGGAAAATAAAAATTGTTACATGTATTCGTAGGTGATATGAATTTCTAAATGTGTATTTGTTTAAAGGGTTGGTGGGATTTGGGAAATTTTTGAGAGAGAAATGTTGACATTGGTCGGAAGTGAAGGAGCTGGAGCTACAGGAGGTGGAGGAGCTAACAAGATGGAGAAGGAATTTGATTCCAAGCTTAGGATTCAGAGCAGCGCATCAAATCCTAGCACTCAGAGATCTAAGAGCTTTGCATTTAGAGCCCCCCAGGAGAATTTCAGCATTCAAGATTTTGAATTGGGCAAGATCTATGGTGTTGGTTCTTATTCCAAGGTCCCAACTTTTGCCCCCTGGTTTCGCCTTCTGTTCTTCTTTATTGATTTCTGGACGTTTGTTTTGTAATTTTTTCTGATTTAAATTGGAATCATTCGGTTATATGTTCTGAATTCTATATAGTATTTTGGAGAGGTTGGTTTTTTTCGGTGGTGATTAGTGATAGATTGATTGTTTTTGTTTATTTTCATCTCCTTTCGTTGGTACGGGAGTTGGGAGTTGGGAGCTGGGGATGCATTTGCATGGAGTTGTTTATATGGGCAATTTCCTTTTTCTTATACTTGTGGCAGTTGGATGACAAATTATGAAATTTGAACCTGTGGGATTTTAGGATCATTTAGATACTACATTATTTTTTTATTTTCCATTTTGGTTTTCCTCAGCTCAATTCATTTCTTTCATTGTTGTTTTTGATCCAGTGAATCTTTATGCAAGTAAATTCATTTTTTTTTCTCTTTTGAGCTATGCAAATAATTCACCTGCCTTAGGGTGCTATGGCTGCAACATTATCTAAAATATCAGGTTTTGATTAGCTACAATTCTAAATCTATTAGAACTTTTTTATTTTATTGTTTGAAGGAGTAGGAATAGCAGGTCCTCTGGTGTCTGTTGCAACATGGTTTTTGATTAGCAATGAACCTAAGAAGAGACTCGACAGGAATAAACTTAGGATCCCCATCTGCATGGGGTGGTATTATAGTTCATTTTTGAAATGTTGTGAGATGGTCTGCTTGAAAATTTGCTTTTCTTTACCTACAGCTAATGCGCTCATTCAGAAAAGATCAAATGCGTCGTGAAAATAGAAGTGTTTCGTTTTCATCAATTAAGAATAATCAACAGAGTACTGGTTTTTGCATGAGAATGTATATCTATATGCAGCATATGGTTAGAATGGAATTCTGTTGTAAGAAAAGGAACTAGGTTCTGAAAATAGTTATCAATATTTTACTGGGTTTTTTTTAAAATTTTGTTTGAATGGAGTAAAAGTAACTTTTCAACTAGAAAGATGTTTTGTATCTGGGGCTATTTTCTGATGTTATTTTATGGCGGAGTTTTATTCTTGCCAATAAGGTTCTTATTATTATTTTTTTAACGTGGCAAAAATTTAGATGTTGAGGCCTTGGCAAGAAGAGTTTCTAAGTTCAAGTTTCATGGTATATTTTAATTTATTTATTTTTATGGATTCAATTACATATAGGTAGTGAGTTCATTGGGGTTAAAGAATAAAAGATAATGCTGGCGAATAAATGGGAAAGTAATTTGTGCTTAAACATAGGTAGGTGTAATTTCGTAAGATAATTATGCAGAGGCAAATAAATTGTGAGGTTTAGAGACCTGTAGGATGGGTTTTTGAGGATTTGGATCCTCTGCAATCACAGTAGTGATTGTAGGGTGGAATTGATGGTGTGTAGTGAAATTAGATGGAGAGAATTACATGTAGGTCACAAATTTCAATGTGTCAAAACTTTAAGCCTATTGCAATGTTATTTTTCTGGTGATAGCATGTGTTTTTGTCTTATTCACTTCAATGATTTTCCTTACCTTTTGTTGCGCTTTTATTTTTTGCTTTTTGATTATCAGAAGCCAAGAGAGGCCATTTCAAATTCCATCTTCTTGTTACAATTAGGTTTGTATCAGTTAGTTATAAATGGGAGTTTGTTTTGTCTAAGATCATAAGTTGCAATTGCTTATCTCCTTCCCTGATCCACTTTGCAGGTCTCCCAAAAACAAAGATTATTTGGATTGTTGTTGAGTATATACAATTTTAAGTGTAATTTATTATTGTGTAATGCATACTTTTGATGGGATTGAAGTTCATAATTTGATATTTAAGCGAAATTAATTCTATCCAATTCTTGATGCCTACAGGTTGTTAGAGCAAGGAAGAAAGACTCGGGAACTATATATGCCTTGAAGATCATGGACAAAAAATTCATCACCAAGGAAAATAAAACTGCTTATGTAAAATTGGAACGCATTGTACTTGATCAGTTAGACCATCCTGGTGTGGTGCGATTGTTTTTCACATTTCAAGACACGTATTCTCTGTGTGAGTGTTCTTGCTTCTTGGTGGCTTCCTTCAACCATGTAATATCACAGTGTTGGCTTAGTGTTTTTTTCCCCAACCTTTTCCATTTTGAATTCCATAGCTTTTTCATGGCTTGCTTAGTAATTTGACATAAGTATATTCTTGTTTTATTACATTTGAAGATATGGCACTTGAGTCCTGTGAAGGTGGAGAACTTTTTGATCAAATCACCAGGGTAAGTGGATGTCAAAATCTAGCTTATTATTCATTTAATAGTAGTAAAATGACATCAATCCTGTCCTTGATCCAAAATTCTAAGGCGCAAAATTAACTTTGACATGTGGCACGAAACAATATATGATGCAGCAAAATTTTTGAGCTACATGGATTCACTTATATAGCATTCCTCAACATTTTCAGACATAAAGGTTTATTTGCTTTGATCCTTGTAGATATAGTGGAACAATCTTATCTGAAATTTCATTTGCAAGATTGTTCTCCTATTTCTCTTTTGCTTATTTGGTACACTGGGGACTCCATAACTCACAAAGGGGAACTGGAAGGGGCAGGGGGAGGGCCTGAGACTTGAACTTGAGACCTGTTGGGTGCCCTGTTGAGCTGGGATTGTGAACAGTGTCGTATTTAAAGAGCATCTTTTCTGGCCTGCCTGGTCAGCTTTTCCCCAATATATCTTGTTTCTTTTGTTGCAGAAGGGTCGTCTGTCAGAAGATGAGGCCCGCTTCTATGCAGCTGAAGTTGTAGATGCTCTTGAATATATACATAGCATGGGGCTGATACATCGAGATATAAAGGTATTTTGCATGATATATTGCTCTTACATTGGAATATAGGAAATGATAATAATTTCTTTAATGGCAGCCAGAGAACCTGCTACTTACTGAAGATGGGCATATTAAAATTGCTGATTTTGGGAGTGTAAAGCCTATGCAAGATAGTCGAATAACAGTTCTTCCAAATGCAGCATCGGGTAAACTAACCTTCTGTAATTATTCATTCAGGAAAACTAAAACATCTTTCTTAGTGAAAATTCATTGATGGTGAGATTACTGATTGGTATGCAGATTAATGTAATGAATTGATTTGTTTATTTTTATTCCAGATGACAAAGCTTGTACTTTTGTGGGAACAGCTGCTTATGTCCCTCCAGAAGTTTTAAATTCATCTCCTGCAACTTTCGGGTAAGGTAGTTACCTCTTGGAAGGCCTACAACCTTCTTTCATTCCATTTAGATAGATATTTTCATGTAATGTCAGCTTGTTAAGTAGTGGACTACAAATTTGAAAATATGGCAAGAATTGGTTCCTCTATGTTTACTTAGTACTACTTATTATCATTCTATCTCTCTGGCTGCCTAACTTTTTTTATTTGACCCATTTGGTTATACTGAACCAGAAATGACCTTTGGGCACTTGGCTGCACGTTATTCCAAATGCTTTCAGGAACTTCTCCTTTTAAAGATGCAAGTGAATGGCTCATTTTCCAGAGAATAATTGCTAGGGATATCCGATTTCCAAACTATTTCTCTGCAGAAGCCAGAGATATTATAGATCGACTGCTGGTAAGCTCAGTTATTTGCATTTTCATCTAGTTCCGGATAGACCCAATTACCCCTTGATCTTTGTGAAATAATATAAGCTGTATTTTTTACTCTGTCTTCTATTTCATTTTTCATTTTAAGTATAAAGGCACATATACCTGTACCTATGCTGCCTATCCACTATCATTTTCATAATTTCATGCATAATTTGAAGTAAAGAAAAGTGGTTGCAACAGTTTTGCTGAATTTCCAAAGGTATATTCATCATGGTTTTCCCACTATCCTTTCTTTTATTTTGTAAAAGTCATATAGAAGGAAAGGCTGGAATAGTCCTGTATTTTCCAAACATATGCGTGCTTTTTTTATGGACAAAGTGTAGTTGACAGCTCCATTTTGCCTTCAAATTACATCAAGGGCTCAAATCTTGTCATATTCTCTCGTAAAATTATAGCGTAACTTTGGGATAATTAATTGCAAATTGTTCCTTTTCCTTTTTCAAGTTCGGATGTCTTTTCTTGAGGAACCATATATGTCTTAAGGGTCAGAACCAATTTTGAAATTGGTATATTTTGTCAGAACTCAGAGGTGTGGCTTATTCTTTTCATAGAAACTAATCTGGCCTTAGAGGCTATTTGGATGCCAAACTAATTAGCAGTGGTGGCTTTTGAAAATTGAAGCATGGAGCCAAGGTAAAAAAGGAATGTTGTTGAAAAGTGCTGGCGGAATAGCTCATTATGGTTTTTCTTTAGGGTTTTACCAGGTGTAGCTTAAAGGTATGAGAGCAAAACCAGTAAACATTAGCAATTCTTTTGCTTTTGTAGTTCACTTACAACAGTTGTCCTCCACTACTCCCTTATCTCCCTTCTATTGTTTGTTTTCAAATATCTTAAAATCTTTGAAAATTAAAATCGTTGTGTTTTGATGGATATTTCATCAGTGAAGCACCTAACATACGTGTCAATGGAACAATACAGGATATTGATCCTGGCAGGAGGCCAGGGGCTGGACCTGATGGTTATTCTTCCCTTAAGAAGCATCCTTTCTTTGAGGGGATTGATTGGACAAATTTGAGATCACAAACCCCTCCTAGACTTGCATCGGAGCTTAAAGTATGTGTTGCTATGACTCTCAACTGATTGTTTTGTTTTCATTGAATAATTCTCATTGCCATCTTATCTCTTTTTTAGGCTCCATCTAGTGGGCCTGATGGTCATGAATCTGCATGGAACCCATCACATGTTGGAGATAGTTCAGCAAAAACAAATGATAGAAATGGAGGTGCTGCCTCATCTTCTGAGTCTGGTAGCATAACTAGACTTGCTTCAATTGATTCCTTTGACTCCAAATGGTGAGTTTGATAACAGGAGTGTGATATTGCTCCACCAACAGTTGATTTTTTTTTTTTTTGGCATTTAATTTCAGTGGTGCTAGACAACTTACGTTTTATATGAGACTTTTCCTGTTTGCTTGACATGATGTTTAGAACCTAGAATTTGATAAACAAAGAAAGTTGCAACTTGAAAGGAGTGGGAGAGCAAATTGTGACTATCTAAAGCTGTGATGTGCCTAGGTAGTCAATTGGTATATGTATGTGTGTAAGTATGCATATTGACTATGTTTGGATATGTAAATGCACGTGTGCCTGTGTTGGTGTGTCTGAGAGGGAGGGAAGAAGTCAATGAGCTTATGGTAAAAAGGAGTGTCAGAAGACAATCAGAGTAGTTCTTTTGTTGGTTTTAAAATTGAAATTTGTTCAAAGGATCAGGAAAATATGCATCCAAAAAAAGTTGTTATTTTTTTAAATATCTATCGACCATATTGATATGCTCAGGACACCTTTTCAAACTTCTTTATTCTCTAACTTAAAGATCCTACCATTTAGGTTCTAACAGAAATCAAAGCATATTTTGCCTTGAAATTGCATCACAACCGTTATGATCCCGGTATAGCCTATAGATTAGACTATTGTTATGGTCTGGTTGGAGACTCAAAATAATTTTAGAGGGGGTGTATATTTTGATCGGCTAGGGGTGGAGAGAATAGATTTTTCCTTTATTTTATTCAGATGTGTTACCGCAACTATGTAACACTCAGCTCATTACAAGTGACAGTTTCCTCCTACCACCAAGTCTCATCTTATGGGAGCATCAATATCATTAACCGTCACCGTCACCGTCCCTCTTTTCTATTTTTTCCTTCCTTTTCTGCTGTCATATTTAGTAAAATCTCGCATTCTTATCTCTTACCAGGAAACAGTTTTTGGAGCCGGGTGAATCTGTTCTTATGATTTCTATGGTTAAGAAACTTCAGAAGCTAACAAGCAAAAAAGTACAGCTTATTCTCACCAACAAACCAAAGTTGATCTACGTGGACCCTGCAAAGTTGGTGGTTAAGGGGAATATAATATGGTCCGACAATCCCAACGATCTCAGCATTCAAGTTACTAGCCCTTCACTTTTTAAGATTTGCACGGTATGTTTGCCCTTGGGGGGCATGTCTACCTGTAAAATGAGATTTTCAAGTCCAATCATATTCCAATGTGCTTGCTTCTGAGCTTCTAACCAATACGTATTTTGTGATGATGCAGCCGAAGAAAGTCATGTCCTTTGAGGATGCAAAACAAAGAGCACTTCAGTGGAAGAAAGCAATAGAGGCCCTTCAGAACCGGTGAATTCTGTTATGATTTTGACAACATATTCTTTCGATGTAACGATATTGTAGAGGAACACGGGGATCTGAACACATTTGGATGCTCCAGAGGAACTTTATTACTATAAGAAAGTGATTAAAATTTCACATCTGCTTCTGTCTTGGTTCAACAAAATTCCAACACCCATCTTCTTTTGCTTCATGACTTTCAGTTAATGTGCAACAGAGTATTTTAATATTCAAGTTTGTACTACAGAATATGACTGTGTGCAAGGCTCCTTGGTCGGTTGGTGCTTCAAGAGTGTTTTCTTTCAACTAAATGCCCAACCTCTATATGCATGTAAGAACAAAGACAAGCAATGTTACGTGCATCCAGAAAGAAGGGTGGGCAAGAATTTAGAGTGCAGGGAGGGTTCTTAAGCCATCGCTTGAAGCTCTTTAATGTTCTGGGATTTGATTGAATTTGCTTGTACGCTTTGAAGCCAATGTATTTGCTTATTGTTGCTGATTGCGAGAATCTGTTCCTAAAGCCTGCCCTCATGTCAAATGTTGTCATAAATTGTCAAAAGTTGCTATTTCATTTTACCTTCTCCCTCGATGACTCAGACCTTTCCCTACTCCTTAGTAGCAGTAACGTATTAGTTCCGGACTGATCCAATTAGTCAAACTTTTGAATGGAAGATGTGGACTCATGCAAGTATGGTTGAAAATCCAATAAATGAGCCAAATATGAACTTGTCCTTCTTCAATGCTCAGATCTTTTTCGAAGATTTTTTCGAAGATTTGAAAGGGACAGACACGACTGAGTAATAGGCCTTGACTGCTTGAGCACAAAAGAAATCCCAAGCAACATTAGTTATCGTCTATGCTAAAAGAAATGCGACAATGGCTGCAAAACAAGTCACTGAAAGAGGATTAGTGATGATTGATCTTGCTTCCGCTCTGTTGTGTTGTCTGTCATTGTCAGCCCTTTTGTCATCAGCAGAAAAATTAGAATCTTCATTAACAATACTGAAGGAGGTTAACCTTAGGGGGCCTTATCTTGGTTTGATCACGGTTTATCCCCCAGAAGAAGATGCTTTCTTTGACACTGGTGCATTCAAACCACACCAAAAACACCCTTATGTCGACTTGTCAGGTAAAGTCCGTCCGTATATAACTTTGATTATTGAGGAAGAGGTCCTGGTTTCTACTATTCTCTTGCAGGCAGGCGTTTCCGAGTAGGGAAGATGGGAAAAAAGAAAGTCATTTATGTGAGATGCGGGGTTGGAATGGTAGGCTTCATATTTTCTCTAGTTCGCGGCTGAGTCAGATTATTCTTATTGTTATTATTGTTTTTTTAAAAGTATAGGAGCCCTTTGAATTGGGACATGAGAAAGTATTGATGCATTTCTAAAGGAGCTAAGATTAGATGCAGCGAACTGAACAATATTAGACAAAGAGAAATTTCCAACATAAAGTGCTTAATTTCTATGATTTATGTATTTTTTTTCCTGTACTTCGTCTTATTTTTTTGGGTTTCCCTTTTGGTCAACGACAACCTTACAAACATCATCCTGTTTCACTCAGGTGAATGCTGCAGCAGCAACGCAACAAATGTTAGATATGTTTGATGTAATTGGAGTAGTGCATTTTGGCATCGCGGGCAGTATTAATAATTCCATGTCCATAGGAGATGTTACCATCCCCAAGCAGTTTGCTCAGGCGGGCTTATGGGATTGGCTCGTAACTTCCATTTCTTGCTTTTAACATGTTAATACATCTGTTTTCGACTGATTTACATGAATCTTTTTCCTGAGCAGAAGCCTAATGCGACAGTCCCAGCAGGTGATTTTACTGAATTGGATTTTGGAGCCTACAGTGAGCCTTCCGGAGGATATAATCAATTGGGGAGCATTGGATACAGCACTGAGCAGTTCTTTTCGAAGTCGGGAAAGCCCAATACTGCTCAAAGAAAGCTTTGGTTTCACGTAAGCAAGAATTGGCTTGAATTAGCACACACTCATCTTGAGGTAAGAAATGACTCGACACAATTCCTTCTCTTATCTTCTGTATTTTTCCTCTTCTTTCTCAATCGAAGATTTATTAGTATAGGACTCCCTTATGATCATGGTTCAAAGTCGCGGTTGCGGTCGCGGTGCGAATCGTTTTACATCAATCTTGGTATATTGGTTACGGTTTTGACAAACGAGACGTAAATTTTGAAGCATTTAATATTTTAAAAATTATAAATAATATTCAAAAATATGTTAAACAAAAATAATAAAACAATTGGCAAAAGAAAATTTGCAAAATGTAAATTTGCGAGTTGACTCGAGATGACTCGGGTCGACTGGGCCAAGACTATCTGTATCGGAGATTTCTCGATCGAATTCTCGGTGACTCGACCAAGTTCTTGGCGAGTCAAGTATCTTGGAGTCATCTCGTCTCGGTCTCGGCCGAGACTTCGAACCATGCTTATGATCCGTTGCATTCGTTCAGGTTCTGAAGCCTGAAAAACCTTAGCAATTATTAAGTGTCAAAGATACTCAAGACTCGTGCTATTTTTCCTGTTACAGGGGATGGTGCTGGAGCAGTGCGTGAACTCGAGCTCGTGCCTAACTCAAAGGCCCAAGCTAGTTGTTGGACTCAGCGGCGCAACTGCTGACATTTTCCTTGACAATGCAGCTTATGGGGAGTTCCTATACAAAACTTTCCACGTCTCCTCAGTGGATATGGAGAGTGTAGCCGTGGTCATGGCAAGTTCCCTTCTCTTGTCCGTGTATTTCAGCCATTACAACTCAGGCTTGGTCATGTTCTTGATCACCTGTTCTGCAAATCTGCAGTCTAAATTCGTCTTGACAAATGCAGAAACCAAGAAGTTGGATCAATTTTCACATACCTTTCAATTTTCAACAGATTTCAATCATCGTTTCTCAGAATCATTCCTTTAACAACCAAGATAATTAACTGTGTGTGTGTTCTGGCCTTTCAGACAAGTCTGTCAAATGGGTTTCCGGTTATTGTCATCCGAGGACTATCCGACCAAGCTGGAGCACAAGAAGGCCAGAATCCAATCGACTTATTTGGGCCTCTGGCAGCTTCAAATGCCGCCAAAGCTGTTGTTCAATTTGTGAAGGCATTATGAGCAGGTCATTTACAAGTTTTAGTCACAAAGATGCAAATAATCCTCATCAAAGGCCACCATATAAACATCAATGTGGTTTAAGGACTCGCAATATACTTGATGACATCAATATTGTTGTTTTCTGCCACACTGCATCGGGGGGCATATATAGAATTAACCGTACAAGACTTTCATTACAATATCCATACGAGCATGAAATTTTGCCATTCATTACGATTTTTATGAAGCTTGATTGAGATGGGAGCTTATTCTCCTACACAAAAAAAAAAAAAAAAGGAAGGAAAAAAAAACTGGCCACAAGAAATCTGTGAATAAAGACTCCATCCAGTTTCATAGCATTCATTCTTTGTTTAGGATGATATCACGAAGTGTGCTGAGCCACAAAATGTTATCAGGCATTCCAACAGAATCCAGCTTTCGAACTCCTACTCATAAACTACATAGTCAAGATTTAACGACATTATTGTCAAACACAATTAATACTGCAGCAAAACATTATTAATTGGCTGGGGAACAAATTGTCAGCAAATTCCAGTATCGCTCGTCATATGCCAGTATTTGCTCCATCTGAACTTTTGTCAAGCGTCAACAGTTTGAGCTGCTGATATTCAATTTTTTTTTTGTTTTTCTTTTCTTTTTGAACTTCGATCATGTAACTTAATGTGGTTAGATTATGACCAGAATCAGAATACGTCGAAAACATTTGACGTGCACGAAGTTTTATATGTGGACCCGGGGCAAGAACGATTCCTGAAAGTTTTGTGCATTTTACATGCAGTGTAATTTACTTTCAATAATGTGTAAGTCTAAATCAAAATTTGGTGAGTCTCACACGCACATTGTTAAAAAACGAGGGTCAAGATGAAATTTGAATCTTATAATTTTTTTTTACCAAATCTTAGCCAATGAACCGTTCCTGCCCCTCTTCATTTGTTATGTACAGCGTACGAAAAATTTCTAAAATTTTGAAGGCTAGTACACCTGGAGGAAACTCCCATGCGATATTTCACGTAAAATCTTAGTCTACGTTTGTTTCTCAGTTTATCCACGATTGGTCGACCTGGATTTCCTTATCTCCTTGTGCAATCTGAGGATAGCAACGTCTATCCACGTGCACGGTTTAATTTACCTATCCTCCCTCGGCACGTTGTATGTTTTCCTCGTCGGTCGGAAAGGGACAGCCCCCGCCACTTGGCTCCTCTATGGATGGCTTCTTTCTTTTCTTTTTTCTTTTTTTTTTTCACGCTTTTGTTGTGGCGAAAGTACTTTCAGGGCTCTTTGTGAGATGGGCTCTTATGCGGGCCAGGGTCAGGGCCAGGAGAAATTGTTTCCGTTCATTCTTACATTTGTACGATTTGTTTATTGTCATTGTTATTTTCACTTCAGGCCAAAATGTGATCAAATTAATACCTTTTATCTCTCACTGTCACCTAACTTTTTTCTTAGTAAAAAATGTCACTTAAACTTTTTTTTTTCCCTTAGTAAAAAGTGTCACACAACTATTAAAAACAACGCAACTTTTTGGTCATTCTTTTAAATTTAGGCCATAAATGCTACCAGAAAATCGCATGCATGATATGGACAAAGAGCTCCAGGACAAAATAGTCAGAGTCTCAAAAAAAAAAAAAAATCCTAAAAGCACAGAAATGATATTAGCTTCTCCTAGCTTCTAGTTTTCTCCTTGTGGAACAATAAAAATCCTAAAAGCACAAATAATCTCCTGTAGCTTAGGTGATGTCCGCAGAGAGCATATGAGCAGTTCTATGTATTTTAGTTAAAGTTCTTGATCCTTTAATATAACTAATTTTGACACTGAGAATATTGTTCATTTTTCCAAATTGTCTCTAAAAGAAAATTCGGACATTTTTACCCTTCAACGGTCTCTCGTGCAAGTCACGTGCGTTACTTTTCCATGGCTTTGATGCACAAACTTAACGTAATTACTGATAAGTTATCTTTAAATAGTTGAGTGATATTTTTAGTTAAGAAAAAAAAGTTAAATGCCATTTTTTAGCTACGAAAAAAGTTATGTGATATTTTTAGCTACAAAAATAATTAAGTGACGAAAAGCGATAAAAGTAATAGTTTGACGACATTTTGCTCCATTTACTCTATTCACGGCTGGC